TGAAAATTGTATTTATTTTTAGAAAAATTCTATGGCATCGAAAATTATTATTTTTAAACACTTTTAAAAAATAAAGTTACAAAAATAAGTATTTAAAATCGATAATAAAATTAGCTGAACAGTTATAACTTCTCATTTACGAATTGTTAAAAATTACAACTCAACTTTTAAAAATTATAACTTCCATAAATAATCACAATATTTTAGAGTGGTCATGCCGTTTTAAATTATAACTTCCCTTGTTAATTTGATTTGTATGTTGGTAAGAGAGAGAAGGGGGGTCCTATATGTAATTTGGCTAGAACTTAATCCGGGTGCAGTAGTAGCACTGCAACCATTATTCTACGACCAATGTTACATGAACTTAAAAAGTATATTTAAAAATTAGATTTTATAATTTTAACTATTGATTTATTTGTAAGTCTCAATATTTATTGAAACTCACTATCTATTCAATAGTTAAGATTATCAAATCTAATTTTTAAATTAATTTTTTTAATTTATTTAACATTACTCTTATTCTATAGATACATATATATAAACTTATTATTAGCTGCAGACACGGAAACTTCAGTGGTTAAGTCAGCAAAGCGCGTAGAAGGATAAAAAGTCAAGTTCACTTCACGGCGAGAGAGAGAAAAATCACGGCCACGGCCGCTACAATTATCTGCTACTTCTGCCCCCGAAAAGTAAAGTAAATTTATCTATTTTTATTTATAATTTTTTAATACAAATTTTCATTTATACATAAAAATTAATACTACAATGATTACCACTTTATTTTTTTCTATAATTTTTTCACATACTAACTAATTTTCTTATAATAAGTTCATTTTATCAAATAATTCCTAGTTTATGTTTAATTTTTTAAAAATTAAATATATTATATTTCATAACACAACCCATATGGTCCATATTCACGTTGAAGTAATAAAGTTGTCAATTCAAAAAAGATAAAAGAAGTAATAAACTTGCAAAAGTTAATATTCAAAACTATTACTAAAATTAGATTTGACTATTTTTTTTGGATAAAAATAGGTAAAAATAAGAAAATCAATAATAAAAATAATAATAAAGTATATATATATATATATATCATAATGACGGAAGATTCAAAATTCGAAGATAGAATTTTATCCAAACAAGTCGTCAGTCATCACAAGAAAATGATCTGATTGGAACTTCCAAGGTGGTGTGGCCCACGTGAATAGGAGACTCCGAACTCCGTTTTGTGTTGGACTTTAACAATTCATACGACAAAAACGATGCAAGCTCTTCGTCCCACAATTAGACTTGGTCACAAATTCGATTCGGACCATAATTCATACATACGTAAGGGTATAAAAATAAAATATGATCCATTAATACAATAAATACGATATAAAATTAAAAAATTTAAATTTTTCTTAAGTTATTTATTTCGTAAACGAAAAAATTTAATACAACACAAAAATAAATCGGGTATGAATGAAATCAGTCAATTAAAAAAAATACGCACGTGAACATAACTTATTTATATACCTATTATTTTTTTGCAATTCGTATTGGAATTTTCATAAAAATCAGAAATTTGGTGCAAATATTTACTTCAATTCGAAATTAAAATTAAAATTTGATATTACATCTGGAGTTTAACTTAATTTCATCAAATAATTAAGTTTCATATAATGTAACAAATTTAAATAAGAACAAAAATCTCTTATTATATTAAACTAATGTAAAATAATTGGCATCAAAATTCACACATGCCTACTAAACAATTCATCCTCCTCAAATCCTAAACTTTTATTTTTAAACAAAACAAAAAATTAACATCATTTAAGCGAAATAAAACTTTATTCCTAACAAAAAAATTTAATAGAAGGACCTAAAAACTTAACTTGTTATTTTACGCTTCATACAAATAATATTAAATAAAAAAACAAAGGCAATTCTCTTCGTAAGATAATGTCTGNATATATATATATATATATCATAATGACGGAAGATTCAAAATTCGAAGATAGAATTTTATCCAAACAAGTCGTCAGTCATCACAAGAAAATGATCTGATTGGAACTTCCAAGGTGGTGTGGCCCACGTGAATAGGAGACTCCGAACTCCGTTTTGTGTTGGACTTTAACAATTCATACGACAAAAACGATGCAAGCTCTTCGTCCCACAATTAGACTTGGTCACAAATTCGATTCGGACCATAATTCATACATACGTAAGGGTATAAAAATAAAATATGATCCATTAATACAATAAATACGATATAAAATTAAAAAATTTAAATTTTTCTTAAGTTATTTATTTCGTAAACGAAAAAATTTAATACAACACAAAAATAAATCGGGTATGAATGAAATCAGTCAATTAAAAAAAATACGCACGTGAACATAACTTATTTATATACCTATTATTTTTTTGCAATTCGTATTGGAATTTTCATAAAAATCAGAAATTTGGTGCAAATATTTACTTCAATTCGAAATTAAAATTAAAATTTGATATTACATCTGGAGTTTAACTTAATTTCATCAAATAATTAAGTTTCATATAATGTAACAAATTTAAATAAGAACAAAAATCTCTTATTATATTAAACTAATGTAAAATAATTGGCATCAAAATTCACACATGCCTACTAAACAATTCATCCTCCTCAAATCCTAAACTTTTATTTTTAAACAAAACAAAAAATTAACATCATTTAAGCGAAATAAAACTTTATTCCTAACAAAAAAATTTAATAGAAGGACCTAAAAACTTAACTTGTTATTTTACGCTTCATACAAATAATATTAAATAAAAAAACAAAGGCAATTCTCTTCGTAAGATAATGTCTGTCACTAAATTAATGTACTTTATGAGATGTATACATCTAAAAAATTGCTCTATTTTATTATATAGATATATTACTCACTTAATCTCAACACACAAGGAAATAAGTCCAGGTATGAAAAAATAAAAATAACAATATAAAGATACACATCTATCTATATATCTAATTATTATAAACTTATAAACGTTAGCATATATATGACAAAATTTTGATTTCTATTTTATCCCTGATTATTAATATAAAGTTAATACTATTTTTATTCAAATTTGATTTCCTATACTTATTTCACTTCTAAGTATTTTTGAACTCTTCTATAAACAATATTACTCTCATTCAAATTTTTATTTCTTATATTTATTTTACCTTTAAGTTATTTTAAACTCTTTTATTAATAATATTTGACTTTTAAATTCATTTATTAGTAGTATACTCACGTACAATTTTCTATATCTCTATGAAAAAAATAAAGTTCAATCTATATTTTATTACTATATATATCTAATTGTTTGATTAAATTCTACAATCAAATATACATCAGTTTACAAAAATATCAAATTATTATAATACAAACAATAATATCACAATTTAATNTAAAATAAAATATGATCCATTAATACAATAAATACGATATAAAATTAAAAAATTAAAATTTTTCTTAAGTCATTTATTTCGTAAACGAATAAATTTAATACAACACAAAAATAAATCAGGTATGAATGAAATCAGTCAATCAAAAAAAAATACGCACGTGAACATAACTTATTTATATACCTATTATTTTTTTGCAATTNATTAATCTCTTCAACAAAATATATAATGTAATTAGATATGAAAATACTGATAACAAAAATCTTGCAGTGAAACTTCATTATAAACAAAAGAGGAAATGTATAATAGGTCAGAGAGATACCTAAACAAATGACAAATTAGATACTCAAAAGGGGTTGAATAGATCTATAATTAGGTTTAGTAATAATTAAAATAAAAATTAATTATTTCAAACATAATTACATATATAATTTAATTACATATATAATTTAATTTTTTTATAATAAAATCATTTTTTAAATATAATCACGTACAATGTACGTCGTGCATTGCTATTTACTTTTAAACGTGTGTAAAAATAGAAAAACAAATTAAATAGTTTTAAAAATACGTTACCAAACAACACTACATAGATGAGGGCTGGTTACAATTTTGAACAATGTTATAGAGTGCTAATTTAAATATTTTATTATAGGCATTAAATTAATTGCAAATTATAATATTAGATAAAATTTATTTTTAAATTCAACAAATGTAATTAATTATGTCTTAAGATTAGGTCTTCTAATTATATACTATAAGTATTTTTTCTACGATCGTTGTGTCCACTTTAGACTTTACAATATATTTAGAGAAAGGGTACCATACATCTATAATATCATATTGAAAAATAATCCGCACAGTTGATTTTGAATTGAATGATATACAACAATTGATTGAAAAATAATAAAGTAAGAAAACATATACACATAATATATTTTTATGAGTAATGTCACCTAGGTAGCAAAATTAACTTAATTAATTATTGTCATTGATTTAACTATAAATTTCAGTATTTATTGGAATTTATTATTTGTTCAATGATTGTGATTCATTAAATTAGTAAATTGTGTTAATTTTTTAAGTATAAATAATATTTATTTATTTATTATTAGTCAAAAAATAAAAATATTTTACCTAAAAATACATTTTGATAGGTAAATGTTGTTTATTGTGGGTCAACGCAAAGGAGATTTTTTTTTTTGAACAAACGCAAAGGAGATTGCTACGCTGTTATGATTGGTAGGCACAGCCGTTACCTGGTAAACTAAAATCAGAAAGGTTGGGAGAATCTGGATTTAGATTCTATTCTCTGACTCTCATAATGAATCAGAAGCAATCAGCTCCCCGAGCAACCCACTTGCAAAAATAATACATATATATATATATATATATATATATATATATATATACTTCTATTTAAATCGCATTTACTTTTTCAAAATTAATTAATAATTAATAATAATTCTGTCGTATTTTTTGTCAATGCAAATAATAATAATTCTGTTGTGTGTTTGGGAATCACAGTTATTAATTAATAATAATAATAATTCACAATTGTTTTATAGTATCAACACAGCGGCCGCACTATAAAAGCAACTCACCCCAGCTAACCACGTCTGTCCATACAATCAAACACAGAGAGAGAGAGAGAGACAGTGTTCATTCTTCCTCTCAAAGTTTGCCAAACATGTCTCTGCTTTCGGATCTCATCAATCTCAACCTGTCCGACGTTACGCAGAAGGTGATTGCTGAGTACATATGGTGAGTCTCTCTCCTGATCTCAAAGACTTAATCTTGTTTTTCTTCTTCTTAATTCGTGCTTTGTTTTCACATATTACTCTGTTTTCCTCTTAATGGGTCGGCATGTTTCGTAAACATGTGTTGATCCTTTGTTCTTCTTTACGCAATGATCTATATTCCGCCAATTGTCGGCTTATCTACAAACATATTGTATGATCTGGGTGGTTTTATTTTCTGTTTTTGTTTGCTGTTCATATTTCTCTTTATTAGTAGAATGATTTAGTATGAGGAAAAGTAAGATGATCTACTGTTATCAAGTTTGATACTAAATGGGTATGCTTTGTTTCCATTTTTCTTCACAATGATTGACCTATTGTTTCATCAGATCTCAGGTTTTTTGCCACTTATACTGGGATCTTATTTTATTCTTTCACTTTGTTCGGTGTTTAACTGTTCATCCCTTGTTTTGCTTGTCCCTTTAATGCTCTGTTTTATTTTTACTACTTGGTTATTAACTTATTTTTAAGCAAGATCTCATGTTTGGGATTTTCCTCGTCTTTGACCCTTTGTTTGCTTTGATTATCCTCTGAATCTGGTGATCTCGTGCTGTTGATGTTTGCATGGTGCTCTAATTTCCTGAATGGCTTATTCTAAGCAGTAAGCAGGGCCTGTATTGTTTTTTCTTTTTTTCTTTTTCCTTGTGAATTACCAAAAGTGAGTTGAGAGAGAGATCTTAGTACTTTATCTTTCTCTTTTTTTTTTCTTTGTGTGGAAATTTTAGTTAATGGCCATAATATTTGTCAATATTTCAATTTTAGGCCCCTTTTGCTGTCTTTCTGTGGAACTCTACTTGATATTAAATGAACAGGCNCTTTTTTTTCTTTGTGTGGAAATTTTAGTTAATGGCCATAATATTTGTCAATATTTCAATTTAGGCCCCTTTTGCTGTCTTTCTGTGGAACTCTACTTGATATTAAATGAACAGGCTTTCTCCCTCCATTTATCTAATTCATTTTGCTGATTGTGATTCAGTATCCATAGTTTTCCTTTTGGACCCGTAATCTGACTGTTTATAAGGACTCGAAATGTTTATTATTGGGATAGAATTGTTTCAATAATGCTATTTAGACCTAATTTGCTGGCCTAATCCATTATAACCATTGGATTGCTTGTGGGTTGGAACAAATACTAGGGCTCATTGTAAATCCAATGGTTATGAGTGATTAGGCTAACAAATTAAGTCAACAATTATTTCCAAAGTAGCATTGCTCTAATTGTTTATGGGCATTTGTTTTAAGTAATGTTTTCACTCATTGTAATTCATTGTGTTGTTTGTTTAATCTACATTCTTTAATGTTTTTTGTGAATTTTGTATTTTTTAATAGGATTGGCGGATCAGGTATGGATCTCAGAAGCAAAGCAAGGGTAAGGAACAATTCAATTTTGTTGTTGTTCTTATTGCTCTTTTTTTTTTCTTCTTGATTATGAAGATTGCTGATTGTGAATGTTTGGTTCTTTGTAGACTCTTGACGGTCCTGTCTCGGATCCCTCTAAGCTTCCTAAATGGAACTATGATGGATCTAGCACAGGTCAAGCTCCTGGGAAAGACAGCGAAGTGATAATATAGTAAGCGCTTTTGTTATTTCACATCTTTCTTATATACTCTGTGCCTTGTTACAGTCTTTCTGATATCTACTTTTCTTTATAAGTTTATAATTTGACATGGTTATGCTTTATGTATTTTGTGTGATGGTGATGTAATGAAACAGCCCTCAAGCTATTTTCAGGGACCCATTCAGGAGGGGCAACAATATATTGGTGAGCGATTTGCTAGTATTCGTTTTCTTTCTCATGTGTTTAAGCATATAGGTTAACCTGGCTCTCTTTCTCCGAATTGTCTCAGGTCATGTGTGATACTTACACTCCAGCAGGTGATCCAATTCCAACAAACAAGAGGCATAATGCAGCAAAGATTTTTAGTAATCCACGTGTTGCTGCTGAAGAACCTTGGTATAATTAATTTATTGCTCACAATGTGCTTTTAGACTTTGTCAACTTCTTCTGGAATTCTTATTTTTAATTTGTTTAGATGTTTTCTGATTTTGAGAATTACTTGGAATTCATCCGTAAAACAGGTATGGTATTGAGCAAGAGTACACCTTGTTGCAAAAAGACATCAAGTGGCCGATTGGGTGGCCCTTGGGAGGCTATCCTGGACCACAGGTAGTGAACTGTTCCCACTTCCCACAGTTGAATTTCTTTACCTTTTGTCTTCTATTAACAAATAACGTCTAGCCATCCATCATCCTGCTGTGTTCTTGATTGCCTCATCATGTGCTGCAATACCATTTACTAATTCTATAATATCACCTTTTTCCTGTACTGCTTGCTTTCTGACTTTATGGATTGTGCTATGGTTGGCAACTGATTGTTGGTATTGGAAAGGGATAGATTACATAGCAACACAGTAGATATGTTTTATTTTCCTCTTGGGCTCTTGGTTGCCATCTTTTTCAAGTAACTAGTTTTGTCAGAATTTTCCTTGTTCTAAAGGAATACTAAATTATTCATTTTTAGCTGGATATTATTAAGTCTTATGATGTATAGATTTCTTGATTGCTTTCTTATTGTCTAAATAGATATTGTTGTAGCCGATTACTCGTACATAACATTGTGTTCACACCTTTTTTGTTTTACAAGGGACCCTACTACTGTGGGATTGGTGGCGACAAAGCCTTTGGACGTGATATTGTTGATGCCCATTACAAGGCATGCCTTTATGCAGGCATAAACATAAGTGGTATCAACGGAGAAGTGATGCCGGGGCAGGTAAATATAAACACCTAGAGTTTGGTCCATGTGCTCATTGTGATGATTTGAATTGTGCGAATATTTTTAAAAATTCATTTAGTTTCAATACTCAACCTCTCTACATATCACACAGTGGGAGTTTCAAGTTGGACCTTCTATTGGCATCTCAGCCGGCGACGAGCTGTGGGTGGCTCGTTACATTTTGGAGGTACCTTATCATATTTAATTGGAACAATTACGCAGAAAAAAAAGTTGGAATTGTTGTCACTTGCCATGTTGAATTGGGACTCAAGTATTGTCCTGATTTATTCACTTTGTTTCTTAACAGAGGATCACTGAAATTGCTGGGGTGGTGCTTTCGTTTGACCCCAAGCCTATCCAGGTCAGCTTTGTAATGTTTCCATTTTGTACCAGTTTAGAACTGCAATTTTTCATTCTCTACTCTGTTGCTCTAAATGAGGCCTTGATTGTAAGGAAAGATTTGCACATCCTTAATGCAAAGTGGGATGTATCCACTTCACAGCAATGGTCGTTTCTCAAATTCTGAAACCCTTTTCCAAATATCCTCTAAAATAACCCTCATATTTTGTGGTTTCTATTCTTATCTACAATTTTCTATAATAATCCGGACCATGCTAGGTTAGTTATCTTATTGGGATGTATTTTTTTTGTTATCCCAACAGGGTGATTGGAATGGAGCTGGTGCTCACACAAATTACAGGTAACCTGTTATCTGTCATGGTAAAATGATATTGTTTCTGAAAGAAAGACTGCCCCCCCCCCCTCTCTCTCTCTCTCTCTCACTCACTCACTCGAGGTTAACATGGTGATTGCAGCACCAAGTCCACGAGGAATGATGGAGGCTATGAGGTCATCAAGAAGGCTATTGGAAAGCTTGGGCTGAAGCACAAAGAACATATATCTGCCTATGGTGAAGGCAATGAACGCCGTCTCACAGGACGACATGAAACAGCCGACATCAGCACATTCTTATGGGTAAATATATTGTTTTACTATGCATATATGCGTGTAAATAACATCTCCAATTGTTAGGTAGCTATGCTGAACCATCAACCTATGGAGAATTATTTATCTATATAAGATAGAGGATTATGTTTTTCCATAAAACTTGTATATTTTTCATTTCATTGAGATCCAACTTTTTTATACGGAGGCTGATTAATCACTTTTTACCATAACATTTGGGGTTGTGTTAGCATTCTCTATTCTTGTACTAGTTGCTAGCATAATGGAACAACATCTCATATAAGGGCTGTGGTTTCTCCACATTGATTTGAGTTTATGATTTTTGATAGGGCGTTGCAAACCGTGGTGCATCCATTCGTGTGGGGCGAGAGACAGAGAGAAATGGCAAAGGATATTTTGAGGATAGGAGGCCAGCTTCCAATATGGACCCATATGTGGTCACCTCCATGATTGCAGAAACCACCCTCCTGTAAGTGTGGGATTGATGTTTGGTGGGACGGTTGAAAGAGAAGAATGATGTTTCGGAACAAGCCTACCTTTTGTTTTTCATTAGGGAGTAGCCCGCCTCCTCCTCTGTGTTTTAGTTGGCAAGCTTGAGATCATTGCACCTCCCTTGCCTTGTGTTGTTTACTTTGGTGTCTAAATAACGCTAATAGTTTTATTGATTACAATATGAAAGGGTAGTCTTTTATTGTTGGAATCAGATGAAATTTATTGCAATAATCTGAGCATCATTTTTCTCATCTTGCTGTAGACCATTATTCTGTCTCCCCAAGAATCGTCGTCTATAATTGGACAATTTTATGATGGAATTTCTCAGCAATTGTCTTCTAACCTATTTGAGATTTGAGAAATTAATTTTTCTGAAAAGGTATAAAATGATTTTGGGTTAGCATATTTTAATTTACATTTATTTGTGTTACTCCATTACAGGCCACTAACTAAACAAAAAATAATTAGAGGCAACTATACAATTAATTCTTAAAACATAAAGTGTACTAAATAATAGAGGTATTGCTTTTTGTCAACATGTATGTTGCAGGGTATTTTACATCTGTTTTACTCGATTAACATATATGTATTGAAGATTCGGGAATCGAGTGATCACTGATTTACCCAAAAAAAGAAAAACTAGAGCCACTATACAAATCTAAGAATTTATAGGTGTAATATATGAACTTTTGAATTTATGGGGACCAACATTCTTAGCACCCAGCCCGGTACATGTAGCTTCGCCCCTGAATTATAGCTTCTTACCAATCTATGCATGCAGGCAGAAACAACTAATTCCTTTTGCATTGAAATTAGGGGTCCAACCCAAATTAAAATTTATTTTTTTGGGACTAGGTTGGGGTTAAGTTTGTGCTAAGCGGTCCAAGTTGCGCCCCTAATTCAAATCCGCATTCCTAGGTTGAAAAACAGGCGTGATACTTGGAGCCAGCCAAGAGCCAAGTGTTTAACTAGACGGAGCTAGCGTTCTGTACTCTACCTATCAAGCAAACTTCCAACTAATCTGGTAGCCCAAGTTGTGAGTATATTGTACGGCCTGGGCTTAAAGAATAATATTATTGGAACAAAATTAATTGACTTAATTCACTACGATCTTTAGATTCACTGTAGACTTTATCAAATATTAGAATTTGGTATTGATCCAATAATTTCTATGAAATCACATCATTATGTCAACAAATTAGGTCAAATAGTATTAATCGGACTTAAATTCAGTATGTTTTGACACCGTGGCCAAGTTTTCCAACATTTCCAAGGGATGAAAAAGAAATTTATTCTTTGGGATTAGCAAATAAAATTGATTATCTACCATCATTAGTTTTTAGGTAAAATTGTTTTTGGTCAGTAGGTTAGAATTGAGTTTCCTCTAATATATTTTCTCTTTAATATCCTTCTCGACTAATCACCTACCACCAAGTATTTAAGTTGGATAATTGTATATAAGTGGTTCTCACTTATTAAAGACTAATGATTTGCCAAAAAAAATGTATTGGAGGGAATCTTAGTTCGTATGTCAATGTTTTGTTTTGATACCGCCAATTACTAAACTCCTGATCCCTTAAGATGACGTGCCAGTATTAAACTAACGGTTCTATAACGACTTGGGTGTTTTGTTTACCATTTTGTTGGAAGGCAAAAATGTAGTGCAGAATAAATTTGAATAAGCAAACCGCCAATGGGATCCAGAATTGGTAGTAGGTTGGATTATATATATATCATTTTTTTTCTTCATCTGTATATGGTTGGTCACATCAACAATATGATATCAGAGAGTGATCACTTTTTTTTTAATGTCGTGCCGTGACAATGGTAATCATCTATAAATTCTGAAAATCTCAAGCCAAAAGTATTTGAGAAATTCTTAAAAACAATCACCAAAGTTGTATTAGACGTTTTAGATTAATCCACCCCGCCTTGACTGAATTAACGTATAGAAAAGGAAGAGTCATACCCCCACTAATCTTCCTCCTATGACCTCACTTCTCACCTAACAATGAACTTCCAGTAGCCCCAGTGGCCCATTCTATTAAATGACCATTCAAGTCTGACAACACCACAATACCTCTTTTTACTTAATTTTTTGTTTTTAATGACGGTGAAACTTTCAAGTCTAAGGTTATATAAAATCTATCTCTAAACAGTAATATTCAAATACGTACGTATTCTCACTCTCTAGCAAAAAGTATTAGTTAAACAGTAATTTAAAAGACACTCTTAAGTGTCAAATCAAGAATATCCAAGTTTACGGTTCCTCCGCAAACCAAACCCACAAGATTGGGCTATCCTTATAGTTTTTCACATGCATATTTGTCAATGACACAGGATACTCCGACGATGAACGCACACAACTACATAATGGTAAAGAAGAATTCAAACTTTATACCCCAGACGCACCTTTCTTGAGAAAACACACACAACCACCTCATGCTAAAGCAATTCCAACTTTCTAATACTATTGCGTGGAACTCATTATTCCACATATTCCAATCCCTATAACCCAATAGCTAGCCAGCTAGCTAGCTCATGTCATCGATTTTCATTCTTCACCCTTACCTTTCAACCAGTTAGTTATTCTATTCATGGAAAGAAGAAAAACCAGAGGAAGCATCGATGAACTGGCAATAGTGAAAGCAGCTGCATGGGCTTGGTATCAACGTGGATCCGGCTCCGAGGCCCGATCCATGAGAGAGTATGATCTCACAAGGCCGAGCAGAGCTCCCAAACCGTCCCGGTACAAGCTTGAAGCCATGGCCATGGAGGGGTCAACGTCAACCTCACCAAGTCCCTGCCATAGTACTGGTGATACTTCTCTTTTTGACATGTACGAAAAAGAAAGGATTTCAAAGCAGTTAGATGATTATATAAAGGCAAGTCATATTCAATATTATGGAGGATTTCACGGCGGTGGAGATCGGAGCATTGTCTCGGTGTCGGAAAGCGGTGTGAAGAGGAAGGAGAAGAAGAAGAAGAAGAAAAGAAAAGGGTTTTGGCTAATGCAAGCGGTGACGTGTGGCTCAAGGGATGATGTGGTCGACAGTATAGGTTTTGGGGGAGGGGGTCTGCGGTCGCCGGAAAAGCAGGTACCAGTGGTTAGGGTGGCCAACTACCGCCCACGGACCACCCATGCCTAGTGAATTTGTCATTTTGGGTATGGGTATTGGTCGTTGGCTATGTAATAAATTTGCCTCTCTGCCCAGTGGATGTCATTTATTGTCTTCCATTGTTCCATTGATGGGAAGCAATTCTTTGGAAGATCTAAATTAAGGGGGGTGCAAGTTGGGCAAAACTGGTCATGTGAATTTCCTCTTTTAATTCATCTTTTGCCCCATCAGATATATATATATATATATATTGACTGAATATGGTGCTGAATTTGATTGTTTTGCTCCCATTTGGTAAAAGAGTGTATGTATTTGAACCTTTATATTTATTTTTCACCATCTGTCTGTCCTGGAAAATGCTTTCATTGTGGATAATTTTCTTTTATTTATACAGACATATATGTTCATAGGGTCCTACGTACATATGAAATTTATTACCTGAATGATCAAAAAGTACATTGAATGAATTTCGATGCAGACTATATCGATGTGGATGGTACTTTGAAGAAAGGCGAGAAAACAAAAAGATAAGCATATACTTGGTTCACTCATTTTGCATACCTTGATGGACTGAAAATTTAATAGGTTAAATGTATGTATTATTATTTGATAAGTTCACATCAAACTAAAATCTATTAACACATAATTATTATCATTTTTGCTTATCTAGAGGGGTGATAAACGAGTCGAACAAATAAATTTCAGTTTTAGTCTGAAGAGGTTATTTCTCAAAATAAAAATAAAAAAGTGTTCAAGTTCGACTCGTTTTTCTAAACGACCGAGTTTGAGTTGATTCCAAAACGAGTTAAACCCAAAGCGAACTGACAAAATTGAATGAAAGGAAGAACAGGAATCAAAAGAGAGACAATAGACTAATTGAAAGGGACAGGAAGAGTAGATGAGGGAAGGCGGGATACTAGGATATGAACTATCAACTAATTTATAGGGCTCGTTTTTTAAATTTTACCGAAAAAATTATTCTAATTTGACTCGATTTTTAAACAAACGAATTAAATTCAAGCTGAACCGACTAACTTTGATCTTTTTCTACCTAACTTATCTAGGTTATTCAACTGTTGTTGGATCTTTGTACATGAAGGTGCTCAAAATAATTTCGCATTATTAGACCATCTAATGAGTACATGTGACATCAGTCATGTAATGTAACGAAGAAGATACGAAGAAGATACATGTCAATCATCACACAATGAAGAAAAGATGTATAAGTATGCAGAGTGCCTCTATCTGAGTAATGATTCGTACAATCGAGCTATATCCCGGCTAATCGAACAGATTTGTGACATAGTCGAGTAGATGACGAAGTTGCTTGGTCAACAGGAAATGGAGCTGTGAGCCGAATTGAGCAACAAGACCGAACCAAGAGATAGCTAGTCCATCCCGAGTAGTTAGGGGTGGTGTAAAACCGATAAAGAAATTGACTAAATTATAGGTGAACATAATAAACGTGGCTTAAATAATAGATGAGCCAAAAAAAGGAGGCTTCAGTACAAATTACAGAAAATTTGACTAAAAAAAAAGTGTGTGCCACCTTATTCAGCCAATGACTAAGATTTTTTCCTAGTACAATACATTGAATCCTATTTTAATACTCTCCTTCAAGTTATATACTTTCACTTTTTCTTTAACAGATGTAAGATTTCTATGATATTTCAATGTATAGAAATAATAGCAGTGACAATTAAACAACTGCATCATCCATCTAATAGGCCAATGCCCTGCCAACTTACCAATGTCATGAGAAAATTTCCAGCGCTCAGTGATCACCACTTGAAGTCCCATCCCATCCCATTCCATGTATTGTCAAAAAACAATGAAAATTGTCAAATAGTAATTTATATTCTCATACACCACATAAAAATGAGTCTAACTGACAGACTCGTCAGAATGAGCATTAACGCGCCTCCTAGCTAATTGATCAATAATTGATGACAAAAAATAATTGTGATGGGTAATGCTAATGCTAATGCTAGTTTGATTAAGTAATGAGATAGACTAAATGATTATTTTTTATCCTACTGCTTGATTCATTTAATATACCTTATTATTTAATCACTACAACATTGAGATTGCCCATCATTCAAATTTGAACCTGCTAGTCACCCACTCGGCCCCATGGGCCACGGCCAACCCAACTATCATTTTGCTGTAGTGGGCCTGCTAGTTCTTGTAAACCGAGCCCCTCAGGAAGCTTGGCCCTGTGCTGCCAACTCGTATAATTTTTAGGTTGGTTTTTTATGACCGAACCTGCATAGCATTAAGAGACAAAGCCCAAACCCAGATATGGGCGGCCTGAGAATTCCAAGCTCACACCACCACCGCCTTCTCTCTCCTCCCCAAATCCACCACCTCCTCTTCACCACCACCACCACCGCCCCCGGCCCGTGGTACACCCCATCATCACCTCACCAATACCACCTCGATCAAGGTCGAGACGAAGAACTGATCCTCTCAACCATCTCTGAAGCCATCATTAACTACCCAACAAAACCCCTCCACACCTCCCTTAGAAAGATCCTGCCTTCCCTCACAGCCCATCAAATTATCAGCCTGATCAACCTTAACCCTCACTCTCTCTCTCCAGCATCTCTTTCCTCCTTCTTCACATGGCTCTCCTCTCAACCCTCCTTTCGCCATACCCTCCACTCCTACTGCACCATGACCCATTTCCTCTTTTCCCACCAAATGCTCCCACAAGCCCAAAATCTCCTCCAAATCATTGTCTCACGAAAAGGAAAAGACTCTGCTGCTCCAGTTTTCGCTGCAATTCTCGAAACCAAAGGTACCCATCAATCCAATTGTGTGTTCAATGCTCTTATGAGTGCTTACATAGATTCGGGCTTCATTTCCGATGCAATTCAATGCTTTAGATTGGTTAAGAAGCATCGAATTGGCATCCCATTTCCATCTTGTAGTCGCCTTCTTTACTTGCTAATAAAATCGAATGCACCCTTGGTGGCTTGGGCGTTTTATAAGGATATTTTGGGTTATGGGTATCCACCAAATGTACACAATTTCAACATTTTGATGAACAGACTCTGCAAAGAAGGGAAAATAAGGGAGGCCCTAATGATTTTTGGTGAGATGGAAAAGAGGGGTTGGAGGCCAAGTGTGGTTAGTTTCAATATTTTAGTAAATGGCTTTTGTAAATTGGGTAATTTAGAGGAGGGGTTCAGGTTGAAGAGGGATATGGAAGATAATGGAATCTTTCCTGATGTTTTTACTTATAGTGTTTTGATTTATGGGCTTTGTATGGAGAGTAGGTTGGAGGATGCAAATGAGTTGTTCAATGAGATGTGTGGAAAAGGTTTGGTTCCCAATGATGTTACTTTTACTACTTTGATTAACGGGCACTGCAAAAATGGGAGAATTGATATGGCTTTGGAGATTTATGAGCAGATGTTGATGAAAGGAGTGAAGCCTGATTTGATCATGTACAATTCGCTTGTCAATGGTCTTTGCAAGAGTGGAGAGTTGAGGGAAGCAAGGAAACTTGTTGACGAGATGACAAGGGTGGGTTTGAAGCCTGACAAGATTACATATACAACCCTTATTGATGGATGCTGCAAGGACGGAGATTTGAATGCGGCACTGCAGATCAGGAAGGGAATGACTGAGGTCGGCATGGAGCTCGATAGTGTGGCACTCACCGCCCTTATTTCTGGGTTTTGTAGAGAAGGACGAGTGTTTGATGCTGAAAGAACATTGAGGGAAATGTTGACAACTGGTGTGAAACCTGCCGTTGCAACATATACTATGGTCATTGATGGGTTCTGTAAGAAGGGAGATGTTAAGATGGGTTTCAAATTGCTCAAGGAGATGCGGAGTGATGGACGTGTACCCAATGTTGTAACATATAATGTGCTTATGAATGGCCTGTGCAAGCAAGGTCAGATGAAAAATGCTAAGATGCTGTTAGATGCGATGCTTAACTTGGGGGTGGTTCCAGATGACATAACTTACAACATCCTATTGGAAGGGCATTGCAAGCATGGGAACCCTGAGGATTGTAAGAGACTTCGTAGCGAGAAAGGGCTTGTTCTTGATTATGCTTCTTATACTTCACTAGTTGGTGGTTTCAGCAAAACTTCAAGACATCGTCAGAAGAGATGATAACTACACAGGTGAATTTCATTTCAAGTAGGTACTGTAAAATGAGTTCAGAGAGGCTATATCAATTCCCCTAATGTGTTATCCATCTTGGGATGTGTAGTTGAGGCACAGTAAGATGTCACATATACTATCCTTGTCGACGGTTCTGTAGGAATGTGGATGTTAAGGTTTTTAATTTCCCATGGGATTGATGTTCCAGTCCAAATAGTGAAGGAATTGAATCTGGACTGCTCGATTGCCTTCAGAGTCCAGGGCTGTTCGAACAGGATTGAGTTACTAATGGGTCGATGTTAGTGAGGATGGCCCACATGATCTGGATGAGGCATAATACAAACCGGAGATAATCATGGCTTGTGCTACTCTATGGATAACAACCAAGGTTATAGTTATGTTACATGGTAGGTGCTCTTTGGGGGGATGTTTCTGCTCTATTAATTGATGTTGTGATGTGGACCTTTCTTGTGCAAAGAAAAGGGACAGAAGCGAAAATAAGAATCTTCACATGCATGCTGGATGAAGGTGGAGTTCAAACTTAAAGCTTCCACCTCTGGTTCCTGAAGGGATATCTTTGGCGCTCTGTAAGAATATGATATACCTATAACTATTTATACATTTTGTTGTAGTAGCTGGATTGAAACATGGAAGGAAATAAAGCTTCCTCGGTGGATGAATGTCATTATGGCGAACCATGTAAATTAGTTTCTACTCTCTCTTGTAATCTCTATTATCCTGCAAAGAAAGAAAGAAAGAAAGGTTTAGGCGATTGATCAAAAAGACATTTCCTTCGCTTTCTCTATGATTGCTGGGCCTCTGGGATTATGAATAAGCTATTAATTTTCCATCCATGAGCACTCTGCTCTGTACTATCTCAATTAACATTACTTTTAGTTTAGCTCTCTTTATCATTAGCGCTACCGTTAACACGTCTCTTCATTTATGTGTCCATATAGTGTGCGATTATAACACCAAAATACATACCAGATAGAATAGAAGGGCCTTCTTTATGGAGAATAGTGAAATGAGAACTTAATAGAAAGATAGCATAATTCTTAGGAGTAACACCACCAAAGTCTCCACTTTGAAGACTAATCAATCCACTTTTCTGATTGGCTTCTAGTCTGACTTAGGAGACCAACCTTTGAATTCTAACTCATGAGTGTAATTTTTTTTTTTTATTTGGCTGGGGTTAAAATGTAAGTTGATAGAGTTATGATCATGTGTGATTCCAATACGAGTATAGTTAAAGGATTTTTAATGTATGTAGTTAAATTATTTACTGTGATTAAAATGTAAGTTTTAAGATAAGCCACTAAATTCAAGCAATTTGAGTTGTGCTTTATTGTAAAGTAAGTCGAGAATAACTAACTATTCTCATTCGTATTGAACTTTCACCATTTTTTTTAAATTTGGGTGAGGCTATTTTCATTTTTACTATTTAAATATTATTTCTCATTCCATTTAACTTTTAATTTTAAACTATTACCTCTTCTATACTCACTATATTAGTGATTATATTCATCCCATTTATACTCGTCAATTAATAACTAAGTCCATATCATTTTCTCCCCATCCATTATATATCTATACAATAAAGTAGCTTATAATTCAAATTTCAAAAGATAAATAAAATAATTTTTTCTTTTCGCAATTCAGATTGCTTTAAATTTTACTTTAAAGTTAATATAACGGCTAATATTAACACCCTAAATTTAATAAAAAAAAATAAGACCCTAAAAGTGTGTTTCGAGTGACTTTTTAAAAGTATTTTTAGAAATTATTTCTCATAAATACTTTAAAAAAAAAATAGTGTTTCAAATCGCCCTACCACCACCTCTATAACCACCACCACCACTACCTCTACCACCACCGCTACCACCTCTATCACCGCTGCCACACCGCTGTCGCTGTCGCCACCACCACCATCACCACGGTCGTCGTCGCCGCCGCCACCACCACCACCGTCGCCGCCCCTACCACGGTCATTGTCATCCACCACAACCATCATTGTCTCCTACTACCACCACTACTATCTACCACTTTTCACCTCCACTACAACCCGATGTTTAGATTCGTTTATCTCTCATTTATGTTTGTGATTGATTTTGGATATGAATACAAATATATTTATTGTTTATTATTTTTTATTACTTTGTGCCTTTAGGTATATACAATAACTAGTCTATATAATAAACAAGCTTACAATAACTAGCTTACAATTTAAATTTTAAAAGATAAATAAAATGACTTTTACTATTTACGGTTGAGATTACTTTAAATTTTACTTTAAATTTAATCTAACAGTTAATATTAATACCCTAAATTTAATAGGAAAAATAGACCTATAAAGGTGTGTTTGGAGTGACTTTTTAAAAGTACTTCTAAAAATTATTTCTCATAAATACTTTAAAAAAAAATAATGTTTAAAACCGCCTCCGCCACCATCATTGCCACCGCCACAGCCACCACCACCACTTTCATTGTCGCCGTCGCCGTCGCCTCCACCACTACTATCATCACCACCACTACCGTCATTGCCATCGTCCCAGTCGCCACAGCCACCGTCACTATTGACGCCACCACTGCCGCCACCACCACCACCACCACCACCACCACCACCACCACCACCATCGCCACCGCCACCACAGTCATTGTCACCCATCACAACAATCACCGTCTCCTACCACCACCACCATTGTCGCCCATCATCTCTCACTCCCACTACAAACCAATGCTTAAATTTCTTTATCTCTTCTCTATGTTTATAATTTGATTTTGCATATGAATATAAATATGTTTATTGTTTACTATTTTTATTATTCTATGCCTTAAGACACAAGTAATAACTAGTTTATATAATAAAGTACAATACAATTCAAATATCAAAACATAAACAAAATAACTTTTACTTTTTACGGTTGAGATTTATTTAAATTTTACTTCAAAGTTAATCTGACGGCTAATATTAACACCCCAAATTTTAATAGAAAAAATAAGTCACTAAGAGTTTGTTTGGAGTGACTTTTTAAAAATGTTTCTAGAAGTTATTTCTTATAAATACTTAAAAAAAAATAATAATGTTTGAAACCGTCCTACCACTACCTCTACCACCCCCACCCCCACTATCGCCCCCAACGCCGCCACCATCACCAACGTCACTACCACCACCGCCATCGTTTCCGTCACCACCACGGTCATTGCCACCCACCACAATCATCACCGTCTCCCACTACCACCCCTGTCGCCTACCACCAAGCCCTCACTACAAACCGATGATTAAATTCTTTTATTACTTCTCTATATTTGTGATTTAATTTTGAATATAAATACAAATATATTTATTGTTTATTATTTTTTATTACTCTGTGTCTTCAGACACATGCAATAACTAGTATATATATTATACCCATAAATTATGTCTCAATCCCCCAAGGTTTTCTATCTATTCTCATCCCATCTCACACATTGTCCAGATATATTTTAACTTTATTACTTTTGTTCATTNATATATTATACCCATAAATTATGTCTCAATCCCCCAAGGTTTTCTATTCTCATCCCATCTCACACATTGTCCAGATATATTTTAACTTTATTACTTTTGTTCATTTACTTTTCTTTACATTATTACTGTTGCCTAAACAGAGGAATATTCACAAATTTCTTTGTCACTGATGCCTAAAAAGAAGCCAAGAAATGCTACCGATCACATAAGCATTCTATCTCCTCTCTTTATCTTCAAAAAATTTCTCATTACTCTCCCTCCATAACACCCAAAATATAGCAAAAAATGCACAATACCAATAATCTTTCCTATTAGGGTGATGTAGATGGGGTGAGCATAGATTGAATGAATTTAATAGTTTAAAATTAAAAAAGGTGAAAAAATATATATTTAAGAGGTCAAGCAATTCTTAAGGTTGAAAAATCTTTCACCCAATTTCTTACTAATATCTTAAGGACCCCTTAAACATTTGCCAAAACGGTTTACGGCCGGCCACTGACCCAAAACCTTAATATCTCAGATGATTTCACACAAGTGTTGTGGTTCTCCAAGTACAAAACACAAAGCTAGACAGACACACTGGAAAGTTTTCTGGGCCCTTCTTTGATGTTTTCTTTTTTGCACTCCATTTCTCACCAACCAAAAGCGACACAAACAAAGGCATGCATGGACAAACAAAGTTGTTACCTACGTAGCTTAGCTGTATCGAATTTGAAAATTTGGCTGCCCTCCTTCACCATCAACGCGGAGAAATGTAATGTAGGGGACCAATTACAGTCTCTCTCTCTCTCTCTCTCACAGAGAGAGAGAGAGATACCTATTTATATTAATTATGTACTGTTTTTTCAAAAGAAGTTGGCGTCTCCTCATTGATATATAATTGAAATTTCTTAGAGCGTGCGTGTGGTAAAGATATGTGAACCAACCAGCTCGATCGGGTCTCGAGGAGGTTTGAAAGCGANCCACCATCACCAACGTCACTACCACCACCGCCATCGTTTTCGTCACCACTACGGTCATTGCCACCTACCACAATCATCACCGTCTCCCACTACCACCCCTGTCGCCTACCACCAAGCCCTCACTACAAACCGATGATTAAATTCTTTTATTACTTCTCTATATTTGTGATTTAATTTTGAATATAAATACAAATATATTTATTGTTTATTATTTTTTATTACTCTGTGTCTTCAGACACATGCAATAACTAGTATATATATATATATTATACCCATAAATTATGTCTCAATCCCCCAAGGTTTTCTATTCTCATCCCATCTCACACATTGTCCAGATATATTTTAACTTTATTACTTTTGTTCATTTACTTTTCTTTACATTATTACTGATGCCTAAACAGAGGAATATTCACAAATTTCTTTGTCACTGATGCCTAAAAAGAAGCCAAGAAATGCTACCGATCACATAAGCATTCTATCTCCTCTCTTTATCTTCAAAAAATTTCTCATTACTCTCCCTCCATAACACCCAAAATATAGCAAAAAATGCACAATACCAATAATCTTTCCTATTAGGGTGATGTAGATGGGGTGAGCATAGATTGAATGAATTTAATAGTTTAAAATTAAAAAGGTGAAAAAATATATATTTAAGAGGTCAAGCAATTCTTAAGGTTGAAAAATCTTTCACCCAATTTCTTACTAATATCTTAAGGACCCCTTAAACATTTGCCAAAACGGTTTACGGCCGGCCACTGACCCAAAACCTTAATATCTCAGATGATTTCACACAAGTGTTGTGGTTCTCCAAGTACAAAACACAAAGCTAGACAGACACACTGGAAAGTTTTCTGGGCCCTTCTTTGATGTTTTCTTTTTTGCACTCCATTTCTCACCAACCAAAAGCGACACAAACAAAGGCATGCATGGACAAACAAAGTTGTTACCTACGTAGCTTAGCTGTATCGAATTTGAAAATTTGGCTGCCCTCCTTCACCATCAACGCGGAGAAATGTAATGTAGGGGACCAATTACAGTCTCTCTCTCTCTCTCTCTCACAGAGAGAGAGAGAGATACCTATTTATATTAATTATGTACTGTTTTTTCAAAAGAAGTTGGCGTCTCCTCATTGATATATAATTGAAATTTCTTAGAGCGTGCGTGTGGTAAAGATATGTGAACCAACCAGCTCGATCGGGTCTCGAGGAGGTTTGAAAGCGATCCCAGCAGCCTAACCCTTTCGCTATTTTTGCCAGCTGTTTTGTGCTCAACTCGATCGCTTTGGTTGTTTGCCTTGCCATCCCTGACAGTGACTCACAATATATATGTTCATACACATTTTCTACTTCCACAAGGTTACTTACCCACATTTGATATACCTATGAGATTGGGTGTGAACTACTCCTATCTGATGCATGATTGTATATACAACCATTCTAGCTTAAACACAATTTGTATAATGTCTTGAGATTCCAAAAGCAAGTCTTGTTTGAAAACTCTAATTTATGTGTGATTAATTATGACATTCAGAGTTTACTTTATAATCATGAGTCTAGAAAATAAATAGTTAGTACAATAATTTTCCTTTTTTCCTGCACCAAAATAATCAAAAAGGAAAACCATCATAGCATTCAACTTCAGTGTGTTATCAACTTTTCTTGTACTAAACTAATGAAAGAAACAAGACTGAAATGTACATATTCAGAAATATATTAGATTTTTGAAACGCGGGTTCTACAAATATAGTGTATTAGAAGGGGCAAACTAATATATGTTTTGGACACTAATTGCATTAAATATTGTAGTTAGAAACAAAACCGGAGTGAATTGATGATGACATAGAGTTTGAGGTACAGCTAAGAATATGTTAGTCACTACATACAGTTCATTCCAAGTTGGGATCGATGTTAATGCTTATCAAGGCTGGCAATGACGATTGAGGAGATTGTGTAGTGAGTACTGAGTCATCACTAAAGTACAACACTTGACATGACTTCCAGGGATAACAGCCAAACTCATCTACTGCCTTCCAATGACTTTGAAGAAAAAGCCATTTTCACTTCGCTTTTCCTTTTTGTTTTCATATGGTAAATGGTTCCCTTCACTTACTCCATCTTATCATTTGTTTGCTTGAATATCTCTCTCTCTCTTCTGTCTTTTTGGAAATATGATTAATGTCTTCCGAAATTTGACATGAATTTCAAATTGATTCACTCATTCTGTCCAATTCTTCAATTAAAACAAATTAAAAATTCAAAAAAAAAAAANCTCTCTCTCTCTTCTGTCTTTTTGGAAATATGATTAATGTCTTCCGAAATTTGACATGAATTTCAAATTGACTCACTCATTCTGTCCAATTCTTCAATTAAAACAAATTAAAAATTCAAAAAAAAAAAAAAAGTATACATAGCTTAACAATTAAATTATTTGAACAATTAAAGTAGAAGGGGGAATTTTAAAAAAAAAAATGCATAATGAAGAAATATCTATGTTATGATATCATAATTATTTAAAAGTAATGCGTCCCCCAATCAACCAAGGTATTTTTTTTCTTACGAGAATCGGTCTAATTTGAGATTTAAATATTGCAATTCATGATATCTTTCCATGTGAATTATCGAAATTGACTTTTCNAAAGTAATACGTCCCCCAATCAACCATGGTATTTTTTTTCTTATGAGAATCGGTCTAATTTGAGATTTAAATATTGCAATTCATGATATCTTTCCATGTGAATTATCGAAATTGACTTTTCAAAGCTCTCTTTCTAGAGATGGTGAATGGGTGCCACAAATAGTAGAGGATTTGCTAGGTTAAATTTAGCTGATGGTGGCAGTCTCTATTTCAAATGTGAGTCCAATGCTACAGGCAATTCATAGGTCATTAAAGGTACAGTGGTTGTTAAAAGTGACAAGTTGATTGATAAATTATATTAAATTGATGTAACCAGCAGCCACGTGCAAAGATGAAAATCATGAAAAGTTGGGGGGTTAAATCCAAATTACCCATGCAAAGAACATCCTCTAATCATGCGCACTGTCGGGAATGTAGGTGCACTTTTAACACAATGTCAGCTCAAGAGTTTATACATTGTGTCTTCCAGATTGCATGCAACCAAGACAACCTTCCCCGCCCACTACATAATATCTTATCCTCCATCGGTTAAAACCTTGTTTTAGTGCCCCCTCCTTTTATGTTAATGATTCTCATAGTCCTATTTTAGATTATATCCGTTATGAAAGTTTAATCTGAGGACGTAATCAATTAAAACAGTTGAATTAAAAGTGAGCTCTATCAAAAAATATAATTTACAATTAATTTAGTGGTTGTAATGAACTAACTTCATGAATTAGTTTATCAAATTATGTCCTTATAGTTATTTGCCCTGAACTATAATAGATTTGAAGCTTGTGTGAGGAATTTTGCTTCTTTTTTTTTTTACATGAAATTAATAAAGACCCTTAGAATCTTGAGAGGTATAAATAGAAGGATGACCTTCATACTGTAATTGTTTTATCCTCAATGATATGATTTTGCACAGTATTATTTCATTTGTAAGTGATTACAAAATAAACCCATCAAAATAGTGTCAAGGTAGGTCAAAAGTAGTGTCGGGGGTAGTTACTCTATCAAATTTTAAAATTCCACCCCGCAAGAAAGTTTTGACTTATTTCATATGCATGCAACTAAATGTACCTATTTAAGCAACAAGTTCAAAAAATACTTGGTTAGGACATTCTTTTATTGTAGACCGACAAAAAAAAAAGTCAGTAAACAAATAATTGAAAGTTGTCACCCTATATGCTTCCTAGAGTTCTAGTCCTTCGTAACCCCAACCTTAACCCACCTCCAGAACAACAACAATAAGAAAAAGAAAAGGAAGCATAACTCTCTTTTGTGAGGTTTTAATTTAGGATTGGGAACTTGACAGATTGAAATTGATTCATCATGGACGTAGCACATGCATTGGTGGATTCGTGGGAATGTATTAATTAAGGAAGGAAAGGTTGTTGTTGGCTTTCCCTCCATATGACAATTTTTCATTTAGTTTCCTTTTTTATTCCTTATTCTTTTGTTCGTACAACAAATACTTAAGATTGACATGATGAGAAACTTTAGGGAAAACCAGTAATTAAATTTCTCACATGAACCATCATCTTTGATAATAGTGGATACTTTGATTATATAAGATAAACAATAGTCACATGAATGAATAATAAAGAGACTAGAAAAGTTGCTTAAAAGGAGTTACAGAGTAGGACACTCTCCTACCATTTGAAAAATGATTACAGTGGGGCGGTGGCATTGGTAAAAGCAATGGAGATGGTGGTAATGGTAGCAATTGTGATAATGACGACATCTTGGTGATGGTAGTGGTTGTCGTGTTAGCAACGGTGCTTTTATTATTTGTTCAACGGCAGGATTTAAATCAACATGTTTTAATCCATATTTTTAAGTGAGTTGAAAATTAATGAATTTGAGTACTTACACACAAATGTTGGGGTCGGGCCGGGCCGGGCCAAGACACATGATGATATAAGTAGAAGAAGTTGAGTCAGGAGGGTCTTGGATCATATCATGTTTTAAAATAGTACAAAGACCAAATAAATGTTCACGGACTTCTTGGATTTCACTTCAAGTAAAAACGACACATTCATTGCACATACACATGTACACTATACTGTATAGACCTATATCTATCTATAACCAATATAAGGTACGTACGTACAAAAACTCCACTAAACTGATCTACTGCAATCTGCTTTTCCAAACCCCACTCTTCTGTTGGCTAGATCAAATNGTATAGACCTATATCTATCTATAACCAATATAAGGTACGTACGTACAAAAACTCCACTACACTGATCTACTGCAATCTGCTTTTCCAAACCCCACTCTTCTGTTGGCTAGATCAAATTCCACCCATAGATTTTGCTGATGAAAATTGCCAATTATGTTACTCGCAATTCCAAGCGAATCCGACCGTCCGATCCCCAAACAATGGACCCCACCACCTACATCATCTAAAATCCTGTCTTTGCCAACTACAATCTCCAACCCCTTCTCAAATTCTAGCACCATATCCCCTATTAACCGTCCGATTTGCATACCATCACCATCAAAGCACGTGTCCAATGCGCCTTCATAAACGTACCCCTTCTTCAATTTTGATCCTACTAACCTAACAATTTCTTCCCTTACCTTGCTATACGCTGCTTCCACCAGAAACGTGTACTCCGTCCCGGAATCGATCATCGTCTGGCCGGAACCACCAGCATCTGGTCGGAAAACCGACGGCGGAATATCAAGTTTTTTCCCACCAATTCTTATCCCTACCATCCCAACGGTATACGCTAGAGGATCCAAATTGGGCATGCGTTGACCTTGGGGGAAAGTCAAAAGATTAACGTATTGGAAAGTAGGAGAATTTGGATTTTGGCCGAGGTAGAATGTTCCGGTTGGCTTAACGTTAGCACGGTTTTGACGAACTGGCACACAATATGAAAACCTTGAGATCTTAGCTTGGGAGGCAAATGACAACCGTCCAAGATTCATTCCCAAAATGCCCTCGGTCGCGGAGGAATCCGTAGCACATCCTAGGATCAAAGGAGAGGTACTTTGGGAATTTGACAATTCGAATTTTTCTCTGACGAGATTACCCTCAGCCAAGGTGCCATCAGCATAGAAGTAAGAGTAGTGGCACAAACGGTTCTGGTCACATGAAGTTGGAAGGGTAAAATCGGGAATTCGCGGCTTGCATAGTGGATGATTGCAAGGGAGGACAGAGAAAGATGATGAGAGAGAAGGATCAAACGACGTCGTTGGTGGGGGCTTTCTTGGAGCCTTCTTGTGGCATTGGATCCAGGAGAGTTGGCTTCCAGTGTCCAACACCATCTGTTGAGACTGGGGTGGGGTCCCTATGGGGAGAGAAACGATCAGAGCCATTGAATACTTGAATGATGATCTGTAATTGTAGGACTGTATTGGGCTGGACTTTGGTTTTTGTTCGGGTGGTGATGAAATAAGAGAAGAGAGGAAAGATATTTTAGAAGAGCAGTTATGAGAGAGAGTGACAGAGGNTTGGGCTGGACTTTGGTTTTTGTTCGGGTGGTGATGAAATAAGAGAAGAGAGGAAAGATATTTTAGAAGAGCAGTTATGAGAGAGAGTGACAGAGGTGAGAGGGAAAGAGAGAGAAAGAGAGTTGTTTAAAGGTGGTTTGAAGTGTTTTGGGTTATGACCTTCTTGAGATGAGAAGGAGAGAGAGCTGAAGATGAGAAAGAGGAGGAGGATGCAGCTGCAGAGAGCCATGGGGAGAGAGAGAGAGAGTCAGGGTGGGTATGGGTGTAAGGTAGGTTGGTATTTATATAGTTTGAATGGGAGGGGAGAGACTAGAGAGAGAGGAAAAGAACAATACAATGCCAAACAGAAGAAAGGAATAAAAACGCGTTTTCTCATAAATTGAGTGGTTATATCTAACAATCTTACTTAGCATGCAAACGTACTTAAGGACCCTAGGTTTGATTAAAGGGTCTAGTCTGTCTATCCCAATAAAATGATATTTTCCACCCCAGTTAATTGGAGAATCTGAAATTACTCCCTACGTACTTTTTTTTTTTTTAATGAAATGCGATGGTATTTTGCCAGTTCAAAAAGGAGGAATAGCATAATAAACTGGAGGACAACTCCTCCACCCAAACATCAGAGGCAGCTACAAAATAATTTTTTTTTTTATTAATTAGTGAACAATCATATTATCAAGTCTTAGCACTTCTCTCTAATTTAATTTCACAGGTTTCAAATGTATGGAAAATTATCAATATAACTTTATCACTTTTGTTACAAGTTCTTGGATGGATCTTTTGGAAGAAGAGTGACTGCATACACAATATCTCCAAGCAATGGTTACTTAAGTTTATTGCTCAAAGCATTAAGCTTCAAACATATAGGAGCTTGACATTGCTTATTCTTTTGTGTGTGTGTGTGTGTGTGTGTGTGTAGACATAATGAGTATATGAATTTCAAATGCTTATTGCTTTCTCTTCCAGCAAAATGACAGCTACGCTTGTGGTTCACCTAAGAAAGCTACGCTTCTAGATGTAGTCTTCTTTTACCAAAATCTTCTAAATAATTGTGGCTGATAGAGAACTCGACTAAAGGGCATCAAATCACGGTTTTTTTTTTTTGCTATTCTTTGTGAGTAAGACATGTTTAAAGTCAAATAAAAAGGATCAAAGTAAAATTTGATTTATAAATAAGAGTATACTTTACATTTTAGACTGGTTGTCATNGTAAGACATGTTTAAAGTCAAATAAAAAGGATCTAAGTAAAGTTTGATTTATAAATAAGAGTATACTTTACATTTTAGACTGGTTGTCAGATCTTCTTTTTTTACTAGTATACTCTTCATATTATCTTTTAGTTGGTGATTGATTGCTTGCATTGGACCATTGACGTGGTGGGTCCTGAAGTTGTAATCATACAGTACGTTAATTATACGATTATGTTGATGAATGTCACTAAATTCCACATACTCCATGTACTAAGGAAAAGAACTAAAAGGGTTAACCACATGCATGATTACCCATTCACAAGGACTTGAACTTCATCTTTCATTAAACTCACCATCACTTGCCATAAGTTCTCAATTCAGTACGAAGTTTTTTGAATTTTCTGAATTTATACATATACCCTTTTTTGGGCAACTTTTACAAAATGAATTCTTAAATTTCTGTTTCTTCTATTTGGAGCCAAGGCATAATTTCTCCAACTCCTCTTTGCTTTTTTATTTCCTTTTTTCTCAAGTTATAGCAATTCCCTTGAAATGGGGATTTGAGTTAGAGAGCTATAAGCCAGTATTTGGAGATCAAATTCAGATCTTTTAGGTTCACACGCTGAATTCTAGTACTTCATTACCACTCTTTTTTTTTTTTTTGGGGGGGGGGGGGGGGGGGGGGGGGGGGGGCAAATTTTTAGCAGCAATACCAACTGCAAGATCCATACTGCAAAATCATGGTTAAACAAAAAAAAAGTGAGTAGATAGTTAAAACTAATTCATAATTATAAGAATAAAAAATTCCTTCATACAAGCACTCCGGAAAAGTTAGGAGTCCTTGACGTGGGATCCGTACAATGTTGGATATCCTACATTAAAAGCCTCACCCAAAATACCACTGGTGTCAAAATTAAAAGAAAAACAAGGTTACCGTATTTTTACTTCTGCTAGCCCTTGTCCCACACATTTCCACTATTTAGATGGACAAAGTTAGATTCTACAGTCAAAAAAATTTTTAAAAAATTAACCACCAGTTTCCTCCCCATTAATAGGGGTCTGAAACTAGGAGATGCAAGATTGGGTAGAGACCTAACCTTCAACACTATTCACAAAGTGGTTGTCCTCAAGTTGGAACCCACCATCTCAATCAAAAGTATACAGTTGTTGGCTCTGCAATTAATTACACAGACAAAAAATAGATGTAAT